AATATAGTGTATGACTTGCATCCCCCACCCAGTAATGAAAAGAATTATTCTGAAGAAAATTGAAACTCATTATTTTTAAAAATCAGATCAACTAAATGCGCATTGACACTAAATAGCATTACAAAAGCATAGCTAAAAGAAAAAGGCCCACTGTTTCTGAATTGCACATTATAATTGTATTGATTGCCACTCTTTGGAGCACTAGGCATGCTGGGAGGAATCACTTGATAAAGGGAGCAGAAATGATAAAGTTTAATAGAAACCTGATCAAAACTTCCATTGCAATAATTACATCAAATCTGCTATAGCTTTACACTCTGAAGATGAAAAGAAAGTTTTCTTTACCAGCTGTTGCTTTTGAATTCCCCAGGACGCATACTGTAACGCTGAATCTGGTACCTCAGGAGGGTTCAGAGGCACAATCTCCCTTGAGTTTCAACAACAGAAAGAAATGACACTTAGAAAACATATGACCTGTTATATGCTTTTGCATGTTACTTTGTCTTTCAGATACATACCTAGTATGCAGGTCATATACTGAATATGAAGCTGTAAAGGAGTACTTGTAAACCTAGAAAACAAAAGCAGAACTAATTAAATTAATTATTTTTCTACTTTTAATACTTCAACATTTTAAGGCCTGTATCATATTACAATAAGAAAAAAAACTATTAGTGAGAAAGGAACTAGCACTGTGTAAAATATAAGCTTATACAGTATGTTCACATTGTTGGTAATTCATATCTTTTCATATCATGCTATGATACTGTAATAATATTTTCAAAAAGTGTATTGCTTTAAAATAGGTAGTACTGTACTGTATATCTGCCTTGTGTGAAAGCTGTGATTAGTGGAACTTTTAGATAACACAAAACTATACCATGTAAACTGTATTAGAATAAAACACGCAGCCTATATTCAAAGAACTGAATCTGGTTTATCCTACCAGACAGCTTGGCCTCTAGACTATACCATAATTAGTATAATTTCAGCAAACTGTAGTTGTAAGCACACCACTTAGATTTGTATTTCCAATGTGTTGAAAAAGATTATTTGTTAGTTCATACAAATTAACAGGTTGCCGGTTCAGTAATAATTAGTCATATTAATTATTGTTAGGAATTGTAATAACTATTGACAAGAAAACCTATCAACATGAATGTGAAAAAAAATGAGAAAAAAAAGCTTAAGAAAGATGTTCATCAGTCAGGTGAGTCGATAATATTTCACAAGCACAGCCTAGATTCGTTTGGTAATCAGGAGCTGAGACTGAATTTGCATGTTAATATAGAAAAGACAACAACCAAGCACATATTAAAACATACAATAAAAATGATCATCACAGACCTCAAAGGAGTTCAATTACCCATGGAGATGATGGGTCCTTGACTGATGTACCTGTCTCTCAGTGCTCAATCTTAATTTGAAATCTCAAGGGAACTCCAGTGTCTTTCAGGGAAGGAAATAAAGCAATCGTATTATGATAAGTTATCTGTCAGAGAATGGCAGGGGGAGGCATCCTCTATAGTCAATTTGATGTACAGCTCTGCAATGCCCTGCCTTTTTGATAAAACTGTCATAGTAGATCTGAAAAGCTGATTGCTGTACAGATAAAAGAGGTAAAGATCTCTGAGCGTAAACGTTGCCTCCTTTCAGCGCTGCACTATAACAAAATCATCTTGTTAGATTTTAAATTATTTTTGTCACTGGAGTATTTATAGGTCCACCAGACATACAGTATAGGGTCTACATCATATGCAGGGAACCCTTAGAGTTATTTCCTGCTTAGAATTCTGATGCTGTAGCAAATATGAAAACAGGATGAAGTTATCAGATTAGTCAGGAACTTGGCACTTTCAGCAGCTTTTACAAAGAAAATAGCCCAAGTGCTGTACAACTTTAGATGTTCTGTTTGCAGGTACGTCTGCTGGCAAGCTGAAGCATCTGATACAATTGATACAATTATTACCCCCGCCCACCAGGGCTAATTTTCCTAGGAACCTATTAACCTATTAATACTGTGGCTAAGGATCTGCGCCTGTTGCTGGAAGGTTGCTGGTTCAAATCCAGCGGCCAGCAGAGGAATCCTACTCGTTAACCCAATTTGCTCCAGGGGCGCCATATAAATGGCTGACCCTGAGCTCTGACTCCAAGCTTCTCTCTCCCCATCTGTGTGTCTCATGAAGAGCAAACTGGGGTATGCGAAAAGACAAATTCCTAATGCAAGAAATTGTATATGGCTCATAAAGTGATCTTATTTAATCTTAACCTACCTGTATGTCTTCACATTGAGGGAGCAAACAGGGAGAACATTCAAATTCCAGACTTATAGCATAACATACCATGTAAAACATCCTTATGTTCCCTACATAATACACACACTTGCATACAAAAAGAATTGTAAACCAGAAATGAAATATTAGTTTTTATGTTGTTCTTTGATATTTTACTCATGGCCTACCCTTTTCTACAGATTCAAAGGACTTTATAGCGGCCCTTTTTACAGATGTGTTTCTGCCGCTTTGCCTTAAGAAGTTCAGCGCTTACAAAGCATTTGTATTTTTAGCAGTTACTGTCTCCCAAAAAATGAAAATAATATTTTAGATCTCTAGAACAGCCCTTAGGAATTCTAATCAGCAAAAAGCGCTGTATCTGATTAAGACGTACATCTTAAAAAATTCTAATATTAAAGTTCTGTATGGGCAAGAATTGTTTGTGGTCATGTATTCTATGTCTTTAAATACTGTATATGCATACTGTATTTATACCAGGCAGGACAGTGGCATGGCTGCTACATCACAGCCACAGTACAAATTCCTGAGTTTGTTTCCCATCTGGCGCTTCTTCCTGATTGGATTTTCCATGTACTCCTCATGTTTCCATGGGCTGTACTGGGTGCTTCAATTTCTTTGTACTTCCCCCAAAACAAACACGTTTGTTGAAGTGAGAGTGCTAAATCATTCCCAAAAGAAAGAGAGCTAACATACACATTATTTCCAATTGTAAACTGTATGAGGTGGGTGGCATTGCTTTCCTATACTGAAAAGAGATTTGACTGACATACATTTATATCGATGTTATATTGATATACTGTATACTGTACATAAAGTATCCCCATTGCCCCAAATTAAACAAAGGGAAAGGAAAAACAGGCTACAAAATGGTTGTTATCAAGAGGTACAGTACCATTGTTTTATGATACTTTTAATTTCTACTGCTGGCATTTAAAGGAGAACTGCAGATCCAATTTCTCAGACCCTGTTATTAAATCTCAGTAACAAGATAATTGATGTTATAGAAAAATACACATTTTGAATGAAGCACCAAACTGCGAACTATGTGGAAGTGCTGTAAGTCACCATGTTGACACGACTCGCATTCGAGTTCCAATGAATGGCCATTAATGTGGCCCTTCCCACTCCCTAGTTTCCATTATGAATAATGTAATGTAATGTTCACCACAGAAATGTTCCAACTTGATGTCTGCATGCAGAGTTAACAAGTAAGATTTGTCAGCAGTGTTGAAATCGAAAGCAATATTTGCTTACAGTGGAAGTTTTGTTGCCTCGTTCTGAATTGCATAACACGGCACTGCACAGATGTTGTCTATTTTGTGATGTGAATTGGAGGTTTTACAGGTTACTGTGCACACTTTACTGTCACTGTGGCTGGAAATTCTGATTCTTTTTAACCCCGAAACCTGAAAACAGTATTGAGTTCCCCTATATTGGATATACAGTAGGATTTTTCAAGTAAATTAGCAAACGTTGAAATTTTTGAGCAATGTACATTTAAAATATTTTTTAAAGTTAAATAAAAAGTTTAAATTAATTACCTTTACACTAGAAATTGCCTACACATATGCAATTTAATTTTTTCCATAGATTAACTTCAGAAGCATTCACATAAGCATTTTATCAAGTTATATGCAGAGTGCATGGGTTCAGCCCCTATTACAGAAATCTATATGACAATTATCAGACCATATTTCTTACAATAACGATTTGTAATAAGACTTTGAAAACAACAAGCAAGAACACAAGATTGTATTAACCTTCTTTTCACTAAATAATATTCCAATGTTAATAATTCATGTTCATCTGTGTAGTATAAGAATCTTCTTTTGCCAAAACAGCTCATTGCTCAGATTTTGCAATCTTACTCTGTAACCTTATGAGTTTTCAATCCAGTCTTTGACAACCTTGTGATTTCTGAATGTTAGTAGTTACTGTGTAGAAATCTTTCCCCTAAATTTCATGTATTGAAGGCAAGACAGAGTACAGTGCAGCACTCCATGGTTGTTTTAGGAGTATAAGGCATGAGCTTCAAGTGGATTTAACTGCAGCTTTTCACTTACAGTACATTTAATATTAAACTGGAAAGATGAGCTGACTAAAAAGAAGCACAGCTCTCTGAGCTTCTCTTTATTTGTTCTACAAGTATGACATGCTAATCCCATTTTATGAGGCACAAACTCACTGCCTGTTTTCTTCATGGCTTGTCCTAGCAAGGAGAAAATTAATAACTTCCATGGGAACCTAAGGAAAGCTCACATTCAACAGAATCTCCACTGCAGGATCAAGAGATACCGTCGATTTTTATTTATTTTTAATCCTCTCTAGAAAAATGTCCTTTTAAAATGAAGTGTATAGATGGATAAATGCAGCAGTCGTGAGAATAATCGCAATGAAATTTGCTATTAACATTTATCCTCATCCTTATTTTCTCTTCTCATCAAAATACGTGTTAGCTATCACAACTTGACACAATTCCTGATCTCAGCCCTCACACCGCTGCAGGATGAGGTTGACAGAACATGACAACAAAGACTGCAACAACATACTGTGAATATGCCTTGGGAGACTAAAACCGATCAAGTGAAAACAGGCAATAAAACTGTCGTTGGGCGGCAGGAAGCCTTGGGGATGCGAGACTATGATTGCCAATGGGGAAACATTCACCCACAGGAACTACAACTAAACACACCCCCCCTGGTGCTGTCAGGAAGTTCGGCTAATTCTCTTCCGTATCAAACAAAAACACGTCAAGGTCTCCATTCTTGCTTACTTCCACCTTACCAGCCAGCAGCCACGCCGCCCTGCAACTCACAGCTGGCAGCCCACTGAAGCTCAGCAGGAAGGAGTCTGGTTAGTATTTGGATGGAAAAACTAAGGTTTCTGCTGGAAGTGTTGTTAGCGGGGCACTCTATAGGCCACTGATGGGGACACTGTACAGTAAAATAAAAGGCTCTGTCCTTCAGACGAGACATAAAATCCCAGGGCGTTTCTCGAAAAGAGTAGGGGGTGTTACGCAGGGTTCCTGGTCAAATTTCCCCCTGGCCTGTACCCATCACGGCCTTCAAATAATCCCCATCTCTGAACTGGCCTCATCACTCTGTTCTCCTCTCCACTGAGAGCTGGTGTGTGGTGAGTGTACTGGAGCATTAAGCTGCTGTCGCACCGGTAGTGGTGGAGGTGAGTCCCCATTACCTGTAAAGTGCTTTGAGAGGAGTGTCCAGAAAAGCATTATAGAAGCGTAAGGAATTGTTACTACTACTACTACTACTACTAC